GTTAATGATTATTCAATAGGTCACTCATGTATAGTTCTACTTATTTTCTTTTGAAGATACCTAAGTAGAGTACAACTATTGATAATCTCCTACCTTTTTTGTCTGTAACTCACTATTATTTGTCTATTTGTTTTCCTGAGAAACTATCTTGTAGATAACAATATGTAAAACAATAACCATTGATAATTTCCTTAAAAAAAAAAAAAAGAAAAGAAAAAAGTAAAATCACAATAGCTTCTGCTGAAATTCAGATCTTTGGTAACTATTTTGAGAACCTACACTCTAATAAAATATTGGCAAACAAGCTACCATGGTTTTTCCCCACAGTAGCATACCCTGTGTCCTTCAGGGTATATTTTTATTTTTGCTTTAATTTTTTCCTCTCTTCTGCTCCTAAGTTTACTCTGGAGAGCCAGTTTTTCCCTTACCCTTCACTTTTCAAATAAACTTTGTCAACATTAAAAAAAAAAAAAGATATTGGCAAACGCAGTGTAACAAATCATGAAAAAAATCGTACAACATGACCAAATAATATTCATCCCAGGGATGCAGGGATGGTTCAACCAACACAAATTAATAAATGAAACATACTACATAAACAGAAACAAGGGCCACAATCACATGATCCTCTTAATAGATGCAGAAAAACCAAATATATAAAGTGCAAAATAAAATATAATTTTATTTTATTAGGACAGAGAGAGCGAGAATGTGATCATCATATACTGCAAAGATATACTAATAAAATTTTAAAAATTTAAAAAGAAAAAAGAAATCAAGGAAGAAACGAAGAAATTCCAAGAATCAAATGAAGATGGAGGCACAAAAAGCCAAAATCTATGGGACATAATTAAAATAGTTTTAAAGGGAAAGTTTATAGCTGTGAATGAACAAACACATTAAAAGAAAAGAGCAATCCCAAATAAATAACCTAATGACACATCTCAAAATCCTCTTAAAGAGCAATTAAAATTTGAGTACAAAGAAATTATAAAAACCAAAGGGAAATTAATGCAATGGAAACTAAAAAACAAACAAAATAAAGAAACAAACACACAAAGGATCAATGAATAAAGCAATTTTTTAAAAGTATAAAGACTGATAAAAGATAGGAAAAAAGGAAAGAATACATCAATATCAATGCAATTAGAAGTAACAAAGGAGAAATCACAATACCACCAAAATATAGATTATAAGCACCTACTTCAAAAATAAGATACTAGCAAACAGAATACAGTAAATCATTAAAAACATCATAAATTATGACCAAGTCAGCTTCATCCCAGGGATGCAGGAATGGTAAAACATACATAAATCAATAAATGCAATACACCACAAGAATATAACCAAAGATAAAAAATTACATGATGATCTCAATAGATAAATGAAAAGACTGAGAAAATCCAACATTCGTCCAGGATAAAAATCTCTAACAAAAATAGCTATAGAAGGACCGTAATTCAAACTGATAAAAGCCATTTATAACAAACCTAGAACAACAAAATAATAAATGAGGAAAAATTCAAAGCATTCCCTCTAAAATCAGGAACAAGATGAGAGTGCCCACCTTGAATCTTCAGCCAGAAAATCAGGTAAGAAAAAGAAATAAAAGATATATATATATATTTTCTCAAACTAACTTTATTTGCACATAACATGACCTTTTACATAGAAGACTTTACCAAAAAACCTTTAGAACTTGTAAACAAATTCAGCAAAGTAGCAGGATACATAATAAACACACAAAACTCAATAACGTTCCTATATGCCGACAATGAACCCAATGAGAAAGAAATTAGGAAAACAATCCCACTTACAATAACATCAAAAAAAATCAAATACTTAGGAATTAACCTAATCAA